ATATATAACGGCCAAATTGTTAGGCTGAGCCAGAAAGCTGCAGTCTTTGAGGCTGCTTAAGTGCAATTTAGAAGCTTCTTTAATATAGTCGCAGATCAGACGTTCATGAACATTTAAAAGTTATTCAATAAGTGCTCCTTTCATATTGTTAAAGTGAAACGCTCTAAGAGTTATGCATTCTCATCTGAACATTAGTTTGATGAAACAAATAGGGAGTCATGGAGGCACAGAATAGGAACGAGTCAATATGTGTGAAACAGCCAGTGTGACTCAAGACGAATAGATAGGGACACCCATGTACGTGTGATTTGAGATAAGCCATCATGAAGAAGAAAGAAGGCTTACATCAATAGAGCCTTTCTTGGCAACATTTGTCCAGTCCTTAGCAGCTACACCACTCTTCCAGTCGAAATTAATAGTCATAGTAACGGGAGGCTTGTGATCAGCAGCATAGAAGCAAGCCATATAATCCCCAGCTTCTGTTGTCTCAAAAGCAAAATGCCCCTCATGAACATTATCAGCATAGTGAAAGGTATTCCCATGTGTAGATGTCACCTAATTCACACATACCATACAAAACTTCATCTTTTTGAACAGAGGAAACTGATTAGTCTGATCAACATAACACACGATACACAAAAATAAACTCTTGTTTTCTGCATGAGGAGCAGAACTCTTCATTTATGAACCTACGAAAATCCTTAGATCACATGTATCCTTAAACTCGTGCGTCCAAATAGCTTTAGAGAAAAGAAAACTCTTACTACACAGAATTTTTCTAGCCAAAATATCCAAACTCAAGTATTAGAAGCTAACTCCACCTAATTGAGTTCCGTATACTGTGTGAGCTCACATTGCCAATCCCATTCCCAAACAAATAAATGGGGTAAGGTTGATACAGACAAAATGCAAATCAATCAAGCAGATATTAACTAACCAAAAGTTCCAACTCAACGGTTCAGAAGCTAACCCTGCCTGCTCACATTTTTGGCCACAATCCCAATATAAGAGAGAAACAAAGATGACTTCTAAGAGGAATTTTAACTAATTCTATCCTTGTTTTGTGAATTGACGAGTAATTTGGGACAAATATGTTAAGTAACGTGGTAGTAATATGGGAAGGTTAACATATTCATATAACCTATCCCAACTAATTTGGAAGTAAGGCATATTAATATGGTTGTTGTAGAAGACCATATTGAGGGCAAAATGCTTCTTAACAAAAGCAACTTTGTACCCGATAAGAAGAGTTTGTTTGATCGGACTTATAAGCTAAAAGTCATAAGTTTTCTAACTTATAACCAATTTTGCATGGACTCTTCACTTTCGATGCCACACCACGTCGAATTCTCCAAAAAATACACTACTTCTGGAGAATCCGACACACATTGACATTTTTGAAGAGTGCATCCTCCCTTGTGACTTTTAGCTTCTTTTCTTTGTTATTTTGGTCTTAAAAAACAAGTCCTTAAACTCACTTTACAATCTTACTCAAACACTACAAAAGTGTTCAAAAGCTATTTTAGCTTAAAAACACCTAAAATAAACCAATCAAAACAAGCTCTAAGACTCAAAACTGATACCTCTTATTAAGGATTAACGAGCATCTACCACTCCACCACAATACTTGTTAATTCGAGTAAAGCTCATACACCCTTACCCAAAAGTTCAAAAACTCATCTTTTTTACCCTAGAAAAATCAAATCAAACACACCCAATTGCTTCATATCCCAAATATCAATCAAAATCATATAAATATCTAAAAAAAAAAAAAATTTACCCTGAGAGTGACTTTGTGAGTATCTGGCAAAGGATGTGATTCATTGGGATTGACAATATGATATTTGCCAACAGTCATGGAATGACTCTTGATATCTTCAGCTATGCATTTTGTACGACCAGATAAAACTTCAAATTGCAGTGAATGTATTTTCATTGAAATAAACATCAAGATTACAAACATAAACAGTGATTTACTTCTGATGAAGATCTTCATTTTTCTTTTTAATGATAAGACTTTGAAGAAAATATAGCAAAAAGAAAAAGGTTTTGATTTGGTAATGTATTCTCTTCTCCAACAATGAGAGGTTTTATTCTAAATAATTTTTAAAGTATTTTATACCTTTTAATCATCAATTTTATTTTAGTCTATTTAGTTATTATTGCATATGGTTTTTTTTAATGGATAAAAATGTTTGTACTTTTGGAGCTCTGTTTGACTTGTTCTTTTATAACTAAAAAAAATGTGTTAGCAAGTTTAGAGTCTGTTTGGCTGAACTTAAAAGCTGGTCAAACTGCTTTAAAAGTTGATTTTTGACTTATTTAACTGTTTGACAATACTCAAATGGTCAAACTGCTTTAAAAGCTGATTTTTGACTTATTTAACTGTTTGGCAATACTCAATATAACTTATTTTAAGTTAAGTCAAAAGTTAAAAACTGGGGTAGGGATGTTTTTTTTTTAACAACTTCAGCACTTTTATCCAAATGCCTTATTTTTAAAATAAGTTTCAGCACTTTCAAAAATACTTTTTTTAAAGCTACTTTTATTAAGCTTATCCAAATGGGCCCTTAGCCCACCTAACACAATAATTGTTAGAACTTTTTTAAAATTGTTAAAGGCTTAAAATTGATGATCAAATTTACTTAGTAAATTATTTGTCTCGATCAAAGTAATATCTTTTATCTTTAAATTTCGTGCATAAATTTAATTTTACCTTTTTTTTTGGAATAAATATAAGTTGTGCATTTCAATAAATATGATTATCCTATATATATATATATGTCACGATTACGAATTTATAATCGCGAATCTTATCATAATTTATCAAGTAAACACCGATTGCATACACAATGATTACAATAAAAATTACAATTCTAATTTCTATGAACTGAAAATGTGTAGCACTTTTATTAATTTTTTTTTTTTTAAAAAAAACAAAATTATAATTCCTCTTTCTGATCAATGGATTCTGTGTTCTCAGATTCAGCAATAACCTTAGCTTCTACATATTTCTCTACCAGTAAAATTGGAGCATAATAATCAGAATGAGCTTCCATACATTTCTGCAAAGCAGAAGTAACTTCGATACATTTTTCTGCAATGTCTTCATTGTTATTTTCCCCTGGTTCAACGCATTTTTCCCAATCGATAAAAGCCTCTCTACATCCACCTTCTTTCATGAATAAACAGAACCCACATTCTTCTTCTTCTTCTTCGTCTTGTTTTTCCTCGTCTTTTTTGATAATTTCTTCTTGGGTTTCGGTATTTGTGTTGGATTGGAGATTTGGTTCGTGGGTTTGCGAGGAATTTGAAGAAGAAGAAGAAGACATAATTGTGGAGTTAGGGTTTGAGATTGAAGGCGGAAGGTAATTGTCTCCCATTTTGCTCATAAAACCCCCTCTTTAAGCCCCCTATTTCTCAAAGATTAAAAAAAAAAACTCTTTTTTTGTCATTACTTTTTTATTTTGGAGTATTTTTGCAAATGGATTTTATTTACATATTTCTAGCTGATATTTTGGAAGGAAAAAAATTATGGGTCCGATCCATTTTCAAGCTCAAACGAGTTTCGAATCGCGCATACCCCATCTCGATGATTTTCATGTGTTATAGCAAATCATTTTTTTGGGTGATTCAAATTTTGATATCAAAAATGCCAAAATTTTTTGTGGAGGTCCGTCAATACCTTGTCTATGCAGCCGGTTGGCCCTGACGAAATTCCTGAGCATTTTGAAGGTCAAACAAGCCCGGAAGCAAGCATACCCACCATTTCGACGATTTTCGTGCGCTATAGCAAACCATTTTTTGGGTGATCCCAATTCCGACGTCAGAAATGTCAAAAAATTTTGTGCACGTCCGGTCAAGACCTTGGCTATGCAGCCAGTTGGCCATCACGGCCAGTCCGACCCATTTCAAGGTCAAACGAGTTTCGAAACGCGCATATCCCCCCCCCCCCCCATTTCAATGATTTTCGTGTGCTATTGCACACGATTTTTTTTGAGATCCGGATTCCGCGTCAAAAATGTCAAAGTTTATTGTAGACGTCCATCAAGACCTTGGCTATGCATCCGGTTGCCCCTCACGGCCAGTCCGACCCATTTTCAAGGTCAATCGAGCTTCGAAGCGCACATACCCCTCATTTCATCGATTTTCGTGTGCTATAGCACACCATTCTTTTGGTGATCCGAATTTCGACATACAAAATGTCGAAATATTTTGTGGACGTCCGTCAAGACCTTGGGTATGCAGTCGGTTGGTCCTCACGGCCAATCTGACCCATTTTAAAGGTCAAATGAGCCTCGGAGCTCGCATACCTCTAATTTCGACAATTTTGAAATAAATCATAAACTACCTTAACTGAAGCACTTGAAACAAGCAAGCTAGTTCAATGGAATCTTCCCTTTTTTCAAAACCTCATTTACTCAAAGTCTAGGACAAGCAAAAAATGAAACTATTTAAACATCCACTGTCTAAATAAGGATCTTGGAACAATTAACATGTTATACAAGTCATATTACTTATTAGAGACTAATTAAAATATACCTCCAAAATAAATGTAACCTACCTTAACCAAACTTGATACAAGCAAGTTAGTTCCCTTCTTTCACTGGCTCAGAATGATCCAAGTCAAAGATCCAAGATAAGATTATTTGATTATCTACTCTCTAAATAATGATCTTTACATTCAAGCCCGCCTAATTTTATCCATTATCGAAGTCTAATCGATTGTCCAAAGGTTATTTCATCATATAAAATGTTTTTTATGACTTTATCAATCTCATTTATTGAGTTTTCAACTCTATTAACCTCTCTTGAATAGTTTATACGCTCATAGAATCCATTTTTATAGAGTTCTTATATTTCCCAACATCATAAATGATAATTAAAACCCTTATTTTCATCCTAAGAAGTTCATCTATTAAACAATTTAAAACCAAAATACATGGATAATTATATTACCTATTCTCTGTAACAAAACTATTGTGGTGAACACCTTCCTCTGGTATGCTTTCTAGTCTCCAATTCTTATTATTTGGCAAGATTTACTTGTCACCAATTGAAGTGAAATAAAGCAACTGATATAGAATTTGAGTACATGCTGCAATGACTACACTATTGTACACAATGCCGGCATGATATAACGTAGCCTTCCTAGTTTCTAACCGGAGATTCTACTACAAAGAAAGGGATTTGAAAATGAAGAAAATAATCCCTTCGATTTGATCAACCGGTGGAATTGTTCTCTTCACCAGGGTTTTGCTTAATCCCACTGCAACAAAAGAAATGTGGCAACTTGACTCGACCACAAGCCCTGCAAGTTTGTTTGCATCAACAAATGTCAAAGAGTGCTATTATGCAAAAGGAATTGCAGGTGCAATAAGGAAAAGATAAGTAGAAGACAAAAAGAGCAGGGCGGATAAAGGCAAATGTAGAAGACAAAGAGAGCAGAGCGGATGGAGGCAAACGTAAGATGTCATGCCCTTGTCTTCCAAAGTGTAAACCTAGATAAGCATCATCATCGGCGTTCTGAACAACTATAGAGAAGCATCATTATCAATAGTAACTCCAACACACCCGCAGAGAGGAATACCAGCTTTAAAAGTCCTGCTCATGACTTCTAGCTTTTAAGCAAGGATTACTGACTGCATGACAAACCTCAGAGACCCGCACGTTCAATATATACTGATCATTCAGTCACTTAAAAAGATAACATCTTTCAAATCATTTTCTTAACCAAATTATGCTAAAAACATAGACCCTCTTGAAAGCTGACTCAATGTTACTCTACATATGAGCACTGGCTTTAAAACGAGCCATCATATGTTTTTCAGTAAAATAAAGAATATAAAACTGAAAAGAAGAATGAATTAACAATGCACAACATGGGGGGGCTCATAGAGGAAGAGAGATGTCAATGATAACAGCAGATAAACGAAATTCAAAACAGGCAAATGCCTGGAAAAAGAAAATGTGGATAGCAGATAAAATCTTCCTGACATTTGGAAACACAACCAGAGGTTTTCTAACAGCGTGTTTGTATCTTTCCTGAGTAGATGTTTCCCTTTTGATCACACTTCACAGTTATCAATTAATTCTGTTTTTTTACGAGTAAAGAGAAACGTTTAACTATCATCTGCTTCAAAACACAGTTAAGACCAATGCTGTCAGCAATTGATACTTCAACAATAAGGCGAAACGTTGCCACTACCAACACCCCAGTTTGAAGCAAAATTTTAAAACTGAAGTGCCTCAACTAAAATAAAACCAACTATAATAATAGTATGTAGTTATAGAACCTAGTTAAGAGATATTAACAAAGCCAGCACTGAAAGTTTGCAAGCACTTAATTTCTCAATCTGATATTTCAGACTCTGTCCAAGTTCTCAGACCAATTGCTTCCTTTTATTTATCTCTACACGGAAGAAAAACAACAATTTGAACTTCCAAAAAGGACAAAATGTTGACCAAATAATGGCGAATAAGCTAAGCAATCCAAGGCAAGCTCAATAGGTGAAGCTATTATCGAAATAATCATTTCCTTCTTATTTGATTTTTCTTTTACTCAAAAATTGTAAAACTCCTCTTTTACTCTTTTGTTTGGTTTACATGTTCTCGAGATGTAGGTTCCTATTATTTTTGAGAGATTGCAGGTAAAGTTGTGTTTTTTTCCAATAACCTCAAACCAGCTTTCGAAATTCAAGAGTATACAGGCTAAATGACACCAGGGATTTTGCTTATTAGTTAAAAATTTTCAAATCCATCTTGTACACTTTACTGGAAGAGCTCTTACTTGCAACGAATAATCACTGGAACGGGTTTTAGAGCCTTTGGTCCATTCCTTATGCCTCTCTTGTGAGGAGAAACCTGCATTATTGACCACAATCCATTAAGAAAAACAGTCAGATGTAAATTCTATAACACTCTCTCTTCTACAGAGCACCATCCAACACACATAAGTTCAGAACATGTACATATTTTGTGCATACATGTGATAGAATAGGAAAATCTAAATAAGCGCAAAGCCAACATGCACAACCAAATGAAAAACATTACGAATACGAATATCTAAACAAGCGCAAATCCATGCACAAACAAATGATAGAGAGATTATTTCCAAAAGACTCTCAACTCAAGTAATGCATATTATCGCAATATGAAAAGGAAAATACAGAAGAAAAGAGAGGACATCAAATAATAGGAACAGTATTACATAGCATTCAGAAAACAAGGAACAATAACAACAGCCAAATAATGCAATAACCAAAGCAAAAGAAACAATAGCTAGTAACAAAAATTGTTGGATAAGAAACTACAAGAGTAAATGATACTACTACCGGTATGGAGAAACAGGTACGTTGCACCAAACTACCACCAAGCTTATCTCATGAGAAAGTGAGACAACGTTTACTATCTATTAACCTTCTATCCTAATCCATAATCTAGTCATGTCCCCAATAAGGAGAATATATATCATGTCATGTCTAATCGCCTCTCCCCAATACTTCTTCGGCCTATCTCTATCTCTCCCTGAATCCACCACAGTCAACTTCTCACACGTCCTCGTGGGGGCATCTTAACATGTCATTTTATATGCCCAAACTATCTTAGTCTCGCTTTCATGCTCTTGTCCACCACGGAGGACACTCCTACCTTTTCCTAGATATCTTATTATCAATCTTATCACTCCTAGTATGCCCACCTCAACATCTTCTAATCATGGCTTCATTGCTTATTTTTAACCAACCAAATGTTTATGATCTATTAGTTGCTATTCAACGTACTAATACGTGCTAGAACACAACTTGCATTTTGAGAGGATCCGACACGGTGTAACATCATTTTAGAGGATCCAAGCGACAGAGAGTCAGAGACAATGGCTTTTTGCTTTTCTACAACAAGGATCATATTCCCAATCTATCACTGATCCTCAAGGGGAAAGATAGGTTCACAGTGATCCTAAGTGGCAACTATCTTCAGAATATTCCTCGAGTCATCTAGCTTGTATTGACTGAAATTGCTATGCACAAACAAATATGCAATACTTCCTGTTATATATCTATCTTAAAGGATACATTTAACGATTCAATAAATTAAGCTTAAATTTAACTTGAACTGAGCTGAGACTCGCAACACTTTTAAGAAGAAGGATCTTTGAGGAGAAGAAAATCAAACCTTCTTCTTAGGGACAGCCATAAGCTCCATGGACCCCCAATTGAAAGGTGAATTTGGAAACATATTGCTGTTATTCTCATTTTCAGGTAAAACCAACGACGGTGATGTCGCCGTCGGCCGATCAACCACGCTATCTAGAGGCGCCGGACGGGAAGTGATGTGGGCAAATCGTCGGAGACTGGAGTTCACGCCGGCGAACTTCCCGGCGGTTCGTAGCATCGTTCCCCTTAACGCCATTTTTGCTGGGTTTTGGCCGTGCTGAGAATAAGCAGAAGAAAGAGTGAAAAACTAAGGGCTCGGTAGTTGTATGGGCCAGATATTATGGGCCGAGTAAAGTGGGCCGAATATTATGGGCCGAGTATAATGGGCCGTCTCCTTTTTGCATTTGTTCGATAAATTTTGTTGTATACACGGTATTTATTCACTCAATTTAATTACTATAAACATACAATTTCGTTGGATATATTATATCTATTCGCTCAATCTAGTTATATCAACAAGTATAATTTATTGGATATATCGTACTATTCACTTGTAACAAAAATACAATATATACGTGTTTTATATGAGATATATTTTCTTAACGAATACTACTACCAATTATGCAATACAAAAATTCATAGCGTAAAATGTGAAAAATCATGTTGTGGACAAATACTAGCACTATTATATGCCATTTTATGATTTAATGCTGATATCCGATGCCAAATTTCATTGCATATACATATTTATTATCTAATCATGATTAAGTGTATCACAGAAAATTTTAACCCCTTAGATTAAATATTTTGATTTGATATAAAAAATTTGCATACAAAAAATAATCGACTTGATCATTATGCATCAAATTGTTAAAACAAAATTAATAACTCGTTTCTTGGCTATCATATTTGTTATGTTTTAGTCAATATGAGATATTTATAATGTTAAAAATATGTTGTTTTTTCTCGCATAGATACATATTTACGACTATTTTTTATTCTTTTTGGATATCCAAACGTAATATATACTCCACATAATTTTTATTTTGAAGAAATCGTGTAAAATAAGCATATTAGAACGAATAATTTATAGCAAAAATAACAAGGGGTTAAGATTGAGTATTTTTATGGTCAATATTGAATATCATCACTACTATCAAAATAACTTTTTGTGGCAATACATATGTGTTAAACTTTGTATCAGTATTAATTAATTATCATTCGATTTAATGTTGCTATAGGCTTTAATAATATTTATAAAAAGTACTAAAATATAATTGTCACTAGTAATTTATATTTTTACACTATTATAGCAAGGCTAATATGGTAATATAAAAATAGAAGAGTAATCTACTCACTCTGTCCACTATTAATTGTTATACTTTTCAATTTTTAGAGTTAAACTTTAAAAATTTTGACTAATATTTTAGTATATATTTTTTCATCATATTATTATGTAAAAAATTGCAATGTATAGTACTTTTTTTTTATATAGTTTTTGAATATATAATTTTTTGTTTAAAAGTCGAATTAATATAATTTAATCTGACTTTAAAAATAAGTCAAATTAACTTTAAAAAAATATAAGATGACAAATAAAAATGGACGGATGAAGTATTATTAAACATGCACAGCCAATTAAATTGACATGACAAATGAAATATTCAATGTAGATATTATTTAAATCTTTCATTTATTTTTTATCTACTATGTTTGAAGTTTAGGCTCACTAAGTTAATTTCATTGGCCACCATTAATTTCAAAATGAATCCAATATTGTTATTTTATTCAATAAAAATGAATGATATGTATATTCAAATTACCCATATGCATATTTTATTCAATAAAAATGAATGATATGTATATTCAAATTACCCATATGCACTTTTTTGATATTTTTTACCAGCTTTCATTTTTAAGAGTCTGGACTTATTTTTATTTTTAACTTATGTTCTTACCTGATTAAGAATATCTATAAATATTTATATTATTTATATGATTATATTTCTTATATTCAATTCTATCCGTCCATTTATCACTTTTAAGTTACGAATAATGAAAATTATTTGACATTGTGTCATATAGCTCCATGGAACTAAACAATTTAATGTACAAACGAATAGATGTGACTCATGTGAGGATCAACATTAATAAAATTTAACTATCCAACACATATACATCTGGTTTAATAAGTGACAATTCAATTGGGGATGGTGAGGACCAACAAGCACTCATAAATATTACAGTAATTGCCTCACCTGTCTTGTTAATATGTGACATTTTTAATTTGATGTACATACTCTACCCCAACAAGTTACTTCTAAATAGTAAGATAAGAAGTAAGAAATAAGAAAAGAAAAGAAAATTAAAAAAAAATTGTGATAATTACTTTTATTTTTCCTGGGGTATGATTTTAGCTAAAAATGTGATAATTATTTAGATGTACATTTTTTTTTTTGATAATTATTGATGTCGATAAAGATTTTAATATTTTTTGTTTCGAAGCATATTTTTTACTGATATATATAAGCAGTAATAAATGTGCATTTTAATAAAAAGTGCTAAAATATTTATCGAAATTAGTTAGTTGTTATTAGATCCAATGTCATTATAAACTTTAGCGACATTTTGAAAAGCGTTAAAATATAATTGTCACTAATAACTATCGCTAAAAATACACATTTATGAATTTTTAACTTATTATCGTTAATTAATTATCGCTAAAAATTATTTTTACTATCGTGAAATAACTAATACAAACCTTAACCTTTTAGTATCATCTTGGACTATGATCCTTTCATAATTTTACTTTCAGTTTAGTTAAGATTGAATCAGTAAACTCAATTCTACTGATGAACAATGGTATATATACATAATAGAAATGTGGATAGAGTCTAATGAAAGTGGTAGGATTCGTAAAATAGAAATAAGATCAAGCATTTCAAAATATGAAACAAACGATATTATATTTTGACTTTGTCTCTTCAGATCGATCACAAGTAAGGTTTAAAAGTCGTCTGTATATGAATAACTATTCAACGTGATTTGAAAAATATCTTTTAACTTTTACTGATAAATAAAAACACTTTCAAATAGCGTTATGAATTATTCAAACATATTTAATCATAACTATTGATCCATTATCACTAAGTCAGTAACATATTTTAAAATTTTATTTTATCGATCAAACACAAATTTGTTATGCACTGTAAACTTCTTTTATGAATTGAAAAAAGAGACTAAAATAAATGTGATCATTACTCAAAGGGTCCACAAAATTCTTGAGAAAGTAAAGAATCAATTGTCATAATTATACCGACCTTATGACTAATTAAATCAGAATTGGAAAATTCACAACAAAAAAGAGTACGACAGATCGGATATAATTCGTAATATTGAAAACAATAGACTAAACTACTTTGTACGTATGCACTAAAATTTAAATAGTCCCACAATATATTTATGGTATTTAAACATAATTTTAATGGATATGTACGAGGTGCAGGTGTAATAGTTTAATTATCGTTATATACATATTTTTTAGAAACAATTAATATTTTTTATAAATATTTTTAAAATTATAGCAATACTAAATACAATGACAATTAGCTAATATTAATAAAGACTTTAATATTTTGTATTACTATAAATTTCTTGTCACTTAAAATTATTTTTATTACGAGGAACAACTTATTTAGTTGTGCTATGATATTTTGGAGAAATACATCACACACATATATATATAGTATTTAAACATAATTTTAATGGATATAAATGTGGTGCAGCTGTAGTAGTTTAGTTATCGTTATATATATATTTAGAAACAATTAATATTTTTTATAAATATCTCTAAAGTTAATAGCAATATTGAATACAATGACAATTAGCTAATATTAATAAAGAATTTAATATTTGTTATTCCATAAATTTATTATCACTTAGAATTATTTTTGTTATGGAAACAACTTATTTATAGTTGTGCTCTGATATTTGGAGAAATACATCAAATATATAAAGTTAATTTTTTTCTTAATGTGTTTTATAGTAAAGTTGAACGTCTCTTATTTCTTGTGTCGATGGTTTATTAAAAATTAAACATTCTCGAGGTGGAAATAATGTGTGCATAAGCATTATACTTTACTATTTTCAAATCCTACATTGTTGCATTACATTAATATATATATTTTTAATATTTTTCAATTTTATTTTTTTTATTTTGAATTACTTTAATAAAAAAACTTAGATTCCGCAGTTTCGAAATCTTCAAAAGTTCGCTTAGCTTCAATTTACAAGAACCTAGTTTTTCTCAAATTTTATAATGCGACCCTACAAAAAACCTATTGAATGACCAAAAAGTAAAGAACATAGGATTCTTTTATTGAAAATTATCATGTTCTACTGGTTTAACAAGTTCGATCTATTCTACGCTAAAATTCAGATTATTATTATTTATTAACTGAAATGATGTAGATGAGGATGACATATATGAGTCTTTTCTCTTCAAAACATGTTAATTAATGATGTGACTGAATCGTAATTGACCATGTATATTTTGCAAAACTAGTATTTTTAATTAACAAATAATGGCGTAAATAAGTCTTTTTCTAAATGGAAATTGCATAGATGAACCAAATTTTTAATCGTGACATAAATAAGCTAACTTAAGCTTTTTCCAAAAAAAAAATAAATTAAATCTCCATCTTGATTCATCACACTTTCTAAGAATAGCTTGAACTCTCTGGAGTTGAATTTCTAGATTACTAGTCATTTCTACAACATATGTCAATAGAGTCTAGTGTGTGTATATATATATATATATAACCCTTCATGTTCACCACTTCATTACTTTGTTACTCTTCTTCTTTGCTCAACAATGGCGTAACTACGTAGACTGAAGGATGGTCACTTGAACATTTGGTCACTTGAACATTTTATATTGAAAAATTATATTGTACATATAAAAATAAATTACGTTAAAAGTTAACAGTATAGTAAGATATTTTCAAATCTTTTCTTGATATACTAAAGTGGAACAAGTAAAAGTAAACAGGATCGTGAATAACATGAGTCCGAAACTCAAAGGTAGAAAATATTAACAAAAATTCCAAAACGGTGTATAAAATTTTATATAAACCAAAACGGTAAAATCGCTGCCGACGCAGCGATTTACTTCAACTGAAAAAGTAAAATCGCCGCTGAGGCAGCGATTTTGCCAAAAAATTTTTTTTTTAATAAAAAAATGAAATCGCTACTCAAGCAGCGATTTCAAAATGTTTCTTCTTACAAATCGCTGCCAGGGCAGCAATTTAACATTATTTTTTAATTTTCTTTTTTTTTTAAAAAATAAGGTATATCGCTGCTCTGGCAGCGATTTACGAAGAATTTTTTTTTTTAAAAAAAATCGCTGCCAGTGCAGCGATTTATAAAAAAAATATATATATTTTCCAATATAAATCGCTGCCTTAGTAGCGATTTATAAAAAAAAAAAAAATTGATATAAATCGCTGCTAGAGAGCAGCGATTTACAAAAAAAAAAAAAAAAAAATTATGTAAATCTAGCAGCGATTTATATTAAAATTTTTTTGGGCTACAACAATGCAAGGTGAGCATTTTGTTTTAAAAAAAAATTAAATAATTTTTCTCATTTAATTTTTTATTTAAAAAAATTAATTATTTGAATTCAAATATTATTTAAATTTAAATTCAATATAATATCTTTTTTTTAGAAAGAAAATATATTTACTTATTTTTAATTTTTTTAAAATAATGTATATTTTCTTATAAATTATAAACATAAGTTAACATTTTTAAAAAAAATTTTTATTTAAAAAATTGCTCAGCGATTTAATAACAAAAATAATTTTTTTTTAAATAAATCGCTGCCTAGGCAGCGATTTATAAAAAAAAATTAATATAAATCGCTGCTAGAGCAGCGATATACCTTATTTTTTTTAAAAAAAAAGAAAATTAGAAAATAATGTTAAATCGCTGCCCTGTAGCAATTTGTAAGAAGAAACATTTTGAAATCGCTGCTTGAGCAGCGATTTTATTTTTTTATTAAAAAAAAATTTTTTTGGCAAAATCGCTGCCTCAGCAGCGATTTTACTTTTTCAGTTGAAGTAAATCGCTGCGTCGGCAGCGATTTTACCGTTTTGATTTATATAAAATTTTATATACCGTTTTGGAATTTTTGTTAATATTTTCTACCCTTTGAGTTTCGGACTCTGAATAACATACATTTATTAATTATTATGGATGAGACTATAGTACAAAAGAAAAAAAAATTAGGTGTGTATAAGAAAGTTGATTATTCTTTTTGAGTAATTGCCAAGGGGGGATATGTTACTATAATTTGGTGAGCCATTTATGGTTGCCATCACTTCATGTTTTTGAAAAGATCATTTCACTATTTCATGGACCACATCAATTAAAGAATCAAATAAACATGGCTAATTTCCATCTCCTTAAATTTTATGTATTCAGAAATTTATGTACTAATATTTAATTATTATAAAGTTTGTGGTACAGCGTTGGTCATAACATTTAATTCTTTCTTTTCATATATACTCTCACTTATCTTTCCATAAAATATTACATCTCACCAAAAGATAGGTAAAAGAGAAGTACCACATTATATATCTTATTATAATTTGGAACTATAGGTTATAATTAAAATGGGAAGATCACCATGTTTAGATAAAGATGGTTTGAAGAAAGGGCCATGGACACATGATGAAGACCAAAAGCTCTTAGCTTATGTTGATGAACATGGGTATGGTAGTTGGAGTGATTTGCCACTTAGGGCAGGTAACATTATAAACTTAATTTATTCATTTTGTAGCTAGGTTTTCTATTCAATCCCTACTTCTTTTTTGATTTTTTGTTTAAAGTTTTTAAAACCATAGTAATGGTATATATAATATTTATAAAATTTCTGATGACGTCAATAATATACTTTTTTTTTTCACATTTGAACCATAGGGCTTCAGAGATGTGGAAGGAGTTGTAGACTGAGATGGATCAATTATTTAAGGCCTAATATCAAGAGAGGAAAGTTCAGTTCTGAGGAAGAAAGAACCATCTTTCAACTTCATGCTCTTCTTGGAAATAGGTAATAGTCGAAAAAATGGACCGATAAAATTTTAAATTCTCTTAGTCAAAGTTCTGACTCTATTAAGTGATTTGTGCAATTGTAACATGTTGGTTTATTTCTTTATTTATTAGGTGGTCAATTATAGCATCTCACTTACCAAACAGAAGTGATAACGAGATAAAGAACTATTGGAACACACGTTTAAAGAAGAGACTAATCAATATGGGCATTGATCCCATGACTCATCAACCAAAGAGAGATGGTTCAAATTATAAGTCCATTGCTAGCCTTAGCCATATGGCTGAATGGGAGACTGCTAGGCTTGAAGCAGAGGCTAGACTTGTTCGAAACAAAAGCACATACAATAACAACAACAACAACAATAATAATAATAATAATAACAATAATAATAATCTTTATCGTCGTCCTCATAATACTTTGCATCGAATCCCTTGTCTTGACATACTAAAAGCTTGGCAAATGTCACGCACAAATGTACCAACTATAAATGACATTAGTGCAATACTTCTTGATGGTTTTATCAAGAACACAAGGACAAAAATATGTGATTCTACAACGCGTTCTACGTTCAATAATATCGAAGAAAATGTTGAGGTTGGTGAAGATCTTTGCATATTTGAAGATACAATAACAAAAGATAATGACATCCAAACAGAATTTTCCATCATTGAGGGTTTAGATGAGCTTTTTCCAGAATATGGTTATAGCCAAAACCCTGGAAACTACTCAAGTGAAGTACAAATGGATGGTTGCTTTGGAAATTTTGAAGACAACAAGAGTACTAATTGGAACAACATTGCACATTTGGTAATGACTTCACCAATTGGATCTCCATTACTCTAAGTATTCATGATAGTTTTGGATTATTTTGTTTGCATTCTTTTCCCTTTTTGATCCCTGTCGTGGTGAATTGGATGAGATCTCTTCAACGCTGAATAAAAAAGATTTGGTTTGAGCAAGGAGAATGGAGTAACTTCTTGTAGGATCTTCTCCTTTGATAATAGTTTATGCCACATGAATCTGAATTTTTCCATAAATTAATAAATGAATTATAAAAAAATTATCAAGATCTTGTATTAAATATTTTCTTATATAAATGATCCTTGGAGGGTTTACGTTTGACCTTGAATATCTATTTATATATATATATATATATATATATATATATATATATATATATATATTTTCTATCTTTCTATATATATGTGTGTTCACAAACAGTAGAAGTCGTCTAATAAGTAAAAGCTATTTTTTCTTATATCCATATAATATATGTATATAATAGTGTTTTATTCATAAGGTTAGGGTTAAAAGAGAAGAACAAACTTATGGTTTAACACTAACAGTCTAATTAGCATCTCTTATGAGTGGACCTGACCCAATAATTATTTCCAACATGTGGTTTAAGCTATCCTTAATTATTATCTCCTTACATTTACTTGCCCTATACACGGACGGACTCAAGAGGGGTAAACGTGTACTCGTTAACTTTCGAAAAAATCATATGTATATATGTATATCTATTTTGAAAAACTGGTAGAAATTAGGATATACTCAACAGTACATCCATAAATAACATAAAAGTAATCTTGTGCTATAGGTAGAAGCTAGAGATAACACCATCTAGACCAAAATTCAAAACCTACTAAAGCCTGTTTTTATTGTTTTTATTTTATTATGTTTATATTGATGCACCCAAAGTCTTCAAATCCTGGGTTCACCTTTGGCTCTATACAAAAACTTTTTGGTGAATCTACAGGAAGTAGGAAGTCTCCCCGGGGCGGTTAGATCTCTCTCTAACTAGAATTTTTTTAAGAGAAGTGCGCGGGGATAGGATGTAGCCAAACTTTATAAGAATGTAAATAATGTAATTTTTAATGAAAAGTTAAAATATAAAGTTGGAATAATATCCAAACCTAAGAATTTAAGAAATAGATAGATTGTTTCGAAATAGTCTTGTTTTGAATTTGATAAGTTGATGTAATAATAATGAATAGTATTGCTCTACTTCAATATAATGATAACTTGTTTTAATGCTTGAAATTTAAAGAAGACATCAAAAAGCAAAGTTTGATCTTTTTGTAAACATAAATAGATTATGCATAATGAAAAAGATTTGACTATTGGAGAGACTTCAGAATACTTAATTATAAGAGAATAAAAATAATAAAATTGGTAAATATAAAAATAATAGTGTGAGTTCATGTTAGAAGTTAGGATATAAATGCAAGAACAAAATAGATAATCACATTTAAAAATTAAAATTATTTTATTTCTCAATTATTACGATGATATCCACGTACAATAAGATATGTACGTAAAAAATTATGATTTACTCCTAAAAATTTCTTTACGAATTGCGAGGCTTTTATTTTTTTAGTAATATGTATACGTTCGATACATATTTAGGGGGAAAAATGACGCCCAAAACCTAAGTTATTGCTTTAGTTGTTTTTTCGTTATGCTAACTTGAATATTTAGAATGTATCAAAATATTCTTTAATTTCATGATATTTAACATGACACATATTAAGTTAAAATTAATAAAAAGTTTGTCAAAAAATGAAATATATATCTTCTTAAAAAAACTGATAAAAAGTAAGATAAATTAACTAAAATAATAGAGCATAACTTGAAGTTCATGTTAATAAAGACTTGAAGTGGATAACTAGAAACAAATATATAGTATATCAGTATATCCCTTCCTCCGTTCATTTTTACTTGTCACTATTTAACTTGACACATCCAATAGAACAATAATATTGATATACTAGTATTTTACCACACTATCCTTATTAAATGTTATTTGGATTAAGTTTTAAAAAGTGATTTTTCAGAATAAATATTTAAAGTTGAAGATTAAACATGAATTTTTTAAATCTTTTCTGGATATAAATAACAAATAAAATTAAAAACATATTTTTAAAATTTATGACAAGTAAAACGACGTTCCCCTATTTCTTTCTTTACTATTTTGAGCAGAAAAAAAATTGGGACCATACGATATGGCACACTATTTTAATTTCTTATAAACAAGTATTCCCTTCCTCAGAATCAACATTAAATTCTAAAATTTAATTAATAGAAAAATCTGCAACGTTAGGTACAAATAATATTCTTTTCGTTTCCTATTAATTAATTATTTTTAAAAATATAATTATCTCATTTATTTATTCATTTTATTAAATTAAAAACACCTTAATTATATTTTTTTCTTTACTACCTTGTAAATAAATTTTTAAAAAAGTGTCTGCGTTTGTTTGTAAAATTTCTTAAAAGATATTTAATAGACAGATCAGTAAAATTATTATTTTATTTATAATTTCTTAATATTCATGTAAAAAGGAAGACTAGTTAATCCCCCAAAAATGACGTATTTAACTTTAATATGTTATTATATCGTTTCAATGAAATGACTTTCAGCTATATAAATATCTATCACTTATTTTAAATTACAAATTTTAAATATTTTTTTTTAAAAAATACTTAATATCAAATTAAAATAATTCATATAAAATAAAACACGAGAAATAATTGATAGTAATAACTACTGTTACATGTACTGATATTATTGTTTGCATTAATTTTTTAAAAACAACGATGTTTCAATGTTATATCTGCATATGACCTTTTCTTCCTCTTTTAAAGCTGCACATTGCTACATTATGATTTATGCTCATAATTATGATACCAAAAGTCAGTAATATAGTAACACATAAGCACATGAATTTATGTGTTTGGACGAAATAAATAACTTTTTTTATATTTTGTATTTATATTAAAAAATTAAATAAATAAATAAAAAATATTTATGATAAGATCATCCGCTACCAGTTTTCTTTTGCACTTCTTTCTTTTTCGCTTTGTATAAACACAAATTGTATAATTTGTGTTATATAAAGCGAGAGAAGGTGAGAGATTTTATATACAAATATTTTATTTAGATTCAATTGTATGCATCCAAATTTTATGCATATATACAAACATAAAAAAAACTTATACATATACAAACCAACTTTTATAGACATAAACGCCTGATTTGAGTTGTCTATAATTTTATACAAATCAAAATTGTGTGTGATTTTTATACAGATGTGAATTGTTCTCTAACAAATAAAAATTTACTATGAAACATAATTATGCAAATTATAATTATAAATATGATTTTTTTTTAGATTTTTATGAATTTTTCTCATGATATACAATATGACAACTATTCGAAATATATGAAATAAAACTCAGAATTTATATATCAGTGTCTAGATGACGCAAGCAATGACACAAGAATAAATATAGTATTTTATTCAATAAATTTAATAAATTTATGATTAGTGATATATTGAAGGAATAATGAAAAAGAAATAGTGTAAAGATAATCCACCTTCAACGCATCCTAACTTAAAAGGGAATTTAATAGGGACCCAAACAAACTTGCTAATATATCCATGGAATATCCTTCATTATTTTTTATTTTTCTTTAAATTTTTTATTTAGCATTCAAAGTTCATATTAAAATTTCAATTAAGCATGAATCACGAGCTGTAAAATTTGTTTGAGATGATATTTTAATAAGATTTTTTCACACACAAAACTCGAAACTTTAGATTAAAAATGAATAGTCTCACTATTACATCACATATCATATCGATATTTATATTTTTCATTATCTTTATTCATATATATATATATATATATATATATATATATATATTATCTAATCAATTATTAAAATAGTCATGTGATTAGTTTTTGTACGATGGTAAAACAATTTTTTTTTATCAAATTAGATTCGCCTAATTTACTTTTATTAAGGTTGAGAAAATTTGAACCTATATGCTGTTGTTTTAATTTAAAATAGTAAATGATTAAAATTATTTAGTTTCCAGAATGAGGAATTCATTTTATTACAATAGACCTAACGAAGTATAAAGTTTAAATAAATAAATAATTAAGTATAATAATAAATTAAATTAATAGTTTATATTTTTTAAAATAATATTTATGTTTATTAGTGATGCCAAATATAATTTATAGTGATATGGTGACGATTGATATTAGTGATTAGTAATGATGAAGATAGTTAATATTGCAATACTTGGTATGATACTAATATTTGATGATGAAAGTAATGATCGTAATAATAAAATTAATTAATATCAATAATTAATAAGTGTTTTGATAAAATAGCTAAAATATATATGGTGATTAACGATATAGCAATAATAATTATATTGATAGTTATAGTAATAACAACAAAACGATATAGTTATAATGAAAGAAATTAATAGGTATATTATAATTATTCATAGAAATATAATAATATAATAATAATAATTGTGTTGACACACATAAAATGGATATTAATTTTCATTTTAAAATGGATCGACATTGAAATCAAAGGGCTGATCTGATTTGCTTCAATACACAGCCTATTAATAATGAGGTGGCTAGGATAATAACCACAAGTTAACTTATGTAAATATATACAATTTTTTAATCTAGTGCTTATCTTTTATAACCACTTTTGAAGAGACACTTGTCAATTTTTCTAAAGCATGGGAGACTTATAGCTACTTTTGGTTTTCGTTCGAACTTTCTTCGAAGAAAAATCATGTTATTTATATATAATTAAAATTAAATAAGTTCATATGTGTACATAATAGATGTCAAATTTCCTTTTGATATTTTTTTCTATACATTTTAAACTCGCTTCTTGAAAATTTTGACTCCGTTGTTGATCTTAGTTCTTATTTTTTAATATCTCAACTATTATACGTGATTCTGAATTGAAATCTATTGAACTAAACATATCTTCTCTATAATTATGTGTTGAAAATAAATAAATCTCTTTCTTTTTTAATTAGACATTTACCGTTAAGCTTTGATTGAATATGAAAAATTTTGATATTAATATTTGATTTTCTCTTGAGCAATCATTATATCATAAATTTACATTGATAAATATTTCTATACGAATATTAAATATAAATTTGTATTAATAAAAATTTCTATACGAATATCAAACTAAAAGAAAGAAAGAAGATATGCTTGATCAATAAAGAAAA